AGAGAGAGAGAGAGAGAGAGAGAGAGAGAGAGAGAGAGAGAAATAGGATTAGTTTCTCATCGTCATAAACAATGCTTTTCAGAATTTCTGTGAAGATGAAATAGTGGTAGGAATACCACTTAGTTATTAATTAGGGGCTGTGATGTGTAATTAATAGGAGAAACAAAAATGATATAAAATATGCTCACCCCACCAAGCTCCAATTTCAGATTTCGAAGAGTCATAAAATTAGGAAACTTATAACCCATTTTTTTTCCACCATAAACTGAATTTCATTGAACTGAAATTTCATTTATACAATTCGTGGCCAATGGCCACTTTTTAATAATATAAAGTTGTGCTCATTTTTCCCAAAAGACAAACTATATTTATATGCTAATTTTTCCAAAGTTACCTACATGTTTATCCCAATTTATCCCAAATTTACCTCATTTATATACCAATTTTCTAAAATGAGCTAACGTTAAACTAAGTTCAGCTCATGCTATGCTAATTTCCCCAAATTTATCTCATTATCCCATGTTTATCTCATTATCCCATGTTTCCAAAACTAGCTAACTTTAAGCTACTTTTAGCTAAAGTTTAGCTAATGCTATGCTACGTTTCCCAAAATTATGCTCTGCTCTTTATTCCGAAATAAATCTGGGCTAATTTTCCTCAAAACTTATCCAACGCTGAACCAGTAATACACCCATCTTCTTTCTGGAAAAAAAAAATTATCAACTCTTCCCAAAGCATGATGTACCCCATTTCCCCAAAAATAAAACCTCCCTTGAATAATAAGCCCATTCGGGTTTTGAGCGCATGCACTAAAATAAGCCCTCCCTGAAAATATTGCAACACAGCAGCAGCCTGGACCACGCGCGCCTCTTCCTGCAGCCCAAAAATAATAAGACCTCCCCAAAAATAAGGCCAAGCATTTATTTCGGGGGTCAAAAGAAAATAAGACGCTGTCTTATTTTCAGGGAAACACGGTAATAAAAACTTTAAAACCCCAGCTCTGTCTCTCAGCTGTCATTCCCAAACTTCACACCGTCCTCTCAGGTGGAGAACATCCAGGGGTGGGTTGCTCTCGCCATTACTGCCAGTTCGGTGCACGCAAAAATTTTGCATGCTCCGCGCATGTGCGTATTTACACAAAAATAGGTCTGCGCATGCGCAAAATGTTTTTAAAAGGAAAAAAATTGCATGCGTGCAATTGCAAATTGTTTTTGTGCATTTGCAGAACCAAAAATCAAGATGGCAGCCCTGGAGGAGAACCGATTCGGGGGCCATGAAAGGTCTGGGTCGTTACTCTAACCCTAACCACTACCGGTTTGGCTGGGCTGAAGCGGTAGGAACTCAACTCTGAGAACATCCATTTTTAAAATAGCAATAGCAATAGCAGTTAGACTTATATACCGCTTCATAGGGCTTTCAGCCCTCTCTAAGCGGTTTACAGAATCAGCATATTGCCCCCATAGTCTGGGTCCTCATTTCACCCACCTCGGAAGGATGGAAGGCTAAGTCAACCTTGAGCCGGTGAGATTAGAACCGCTGAACTGCAGATAACAGTCAGCTGAAGTTGCCTGCAGTACTGCACTCTAACCACTGTGCCACCTCGGCTCCTATTTCTTAGACATATATACAGAATCAGCCTCTTGCCCCTTCCTTCCTTCCTTCCTTCCTTCCTTCCTTCCTTCCTTCCTTCCTTCCTTCCTTCCTTCCTTCCTNCACACGCCCCTTTGCAGGAGTCAACATATTCATTAAAGTTGGAGAACTCTCGTGGCTAGCTTGGCAGGCTAGATTGCTGCCAAGGTTAGTCTGTGCTGGATTGCTGCCAAGGACTCGACTGTGCTGGATTGCTGGCAGCATCTGGACTGTGCTGGATTGCTGCCAAGGCCCTGTCTGTATGTTAATAAATCCTTGAAGTATCTCTGTCTCGGCGTGCTTTGGTGTAGGACAAGGGGGGGTCAGAACAGGCTTATAAAGCAAACAACCTCCTTTTGACTTACCTGCAAAATTGCCCTTTCAGAAGTTGACAAGTTCCCAGTTTCAAAATCTGCCTGATATGGCTTTGATGTAAGTGCATATTCAACCTCTGTTTGTTTGTTAGTTCGTGTATTGGACCCAGACAATAACCTTAGCAGGTCTAGTAAATTCCACATAAGAAGCCAACATTGTTGGTAACTTACCAGCTCTTCACGAAGTTGGGAGATGAGTTCATCTTTCTCTTTTACTTGCAGTTTCAGAGTCAAGCATTCGTCTTTCATTATATCCTATAATAACATCAAAATAGATGTTACAAAGGGCTTAGCACTTTCCCCCCTGCTCTTCACAAGAAAAGACAATGTCACACTGTGCCAAATAATTACATCCAAGTAATGAATCTTGGGGTCCCCTTTTAATGTGTGATATTTCTAATAGCATATTCTGTTAGTAATACAAATATTGTAACCTAATGCCGCCGAAATACAAGCATATTGTATAAACCAAGCTGTGAATGGAGCCATGTGTGTTAAGTCCATTTGGTTAGTGCGTAATTCTTTTAAGCCTCTGCTGTGATTTGTGGATGAGGGGGGTGTCCAATTACATAGCCAACCTTACTTGGTTCTCTAGCCATCTCCTCTTTCCAGAAAGTTATTGGTGTAAGCAGTTTTATTAGTTTATTTAACAGGGAATATAGTAAAGTCTGCAATAAAATGTTGCAAGTGGAACTTGCCATCATATTTTGCAAAGCAAAGTGCTTTCTTTGATGTAAGATTCTCTGCAGGCAGCTTTGCCCTCTTCCAGGTTTCTTCATTCCTCTATATCACTGGTATCATCTTTTCCCCAATTTCCCAATGCCAGGCTTTATTTCAAGGCAGGAATGCACCGCAAGAAATTTAAGAACTTACAGGTAGATAATATGTACTAAAGAATGTAAGAAGTCATATTCCAAGTATTGTTGCATTTCAACAATTATTCTCATTCATTTTTTTCTCTCTCTCTCTCTCCCTCCCTCCCTCCCTCCCCCACCCCCTTCCCCTGTCCCCCTCTCCCTCTCAAGTTTTCATAATATCTTCCTTGTTCTTGACCTTCATAAAAAAAATTAAAAAAAAACTACTGAGGTCCCTCTTTTAAACAAGCTAATTTGTTGATCTTAAAATTGAAGCCATCAGATTTTCAAGCTAACTCATATACATGTCAGCATTCTGAAGTTATTAAACAAGTACTGTAAGCCCTGGCATTTATGACAAATAAGGAATTGGCCAGGTGCAAGTAACCAGGAACAGGAGTTGACTTCAAAACACTAAAAGTTTATTACAAGCTACATATACGCAGGAAACTGATCAACTGATGGTCAAGGCAAGTTGACGTTAGATTACAATCAATGGGATTCATGCATGAGGGGACTGTCTTGGGGTTGTGTAAGGGTTCCAAACTGAGGTTGCATATGATACCATCTTCAGGCTCCACCTGGTCATTTCTTACTGAATACTCGCAATTCTTCTCCCTCCAAAAACCCATTCTCAGAAAAAGGAGATTGCTATTGTTATTTTATAGAATACTGTTTTGACTCAGCAGTTCTGCTGAGAGTCTTTTCGGGATACAAGATGCAGTATGCAGCTGGGGCTTGTGGGAGGCAGGTTTGGAGATAAAAAGGACGGATGCTGCCACGCCCTAGTTGCAGGAGTCAACATACATTCCTTCGTGCGTGCCTGGGTTTATACAACATTGCTTGTTACACTTGGATAAGTGCTGTGGTGTTTCATGTAAACCCTGATTCGTGGAGACTTTGGAAAAAGTGCATTGCTTGTAAGAGTTTTTGTTTTGCATTCTTGNACCTATGGCACGCGTGCCATAGGTGGCATGCAGAGCCCTCTGCAGCCGTTGCCCCAGTTTAGTTCCACAGCACATGAGTGTGTGCCTCCCACTGGCCAGCTGATTTTGGGGTCTCTGCCATGCATGCACAGGGGAGGGGCGCATGTGGGAGATGCATGTGCACGTGTGTGGGCATGTGTGAATCATATGTGCAGAGTGGGGGGTCACACATGCATGCACGAGGGGCAGGGGGAACACGGGGGTGTGCCCCCACCCATTTTTTATCCCAGGTGGGTGCAGGGTGGCCTACTAGGCCCAAAATAGGACACAGGGGATCACACGTGCATGCGCAGGGGGAAGGGGGGGGTGTCACATTGCAGTGCAGTGTACTTTTGGCACGCGATATTCTAGGCTAATCCTTCTTTTAATTGTGACCCAGGTTCTGCCACTCTTTCTCTTACATGAGGACAGGGGATGTAGCAAATCTGGCCAGAACTTTGCCATGGTACTGTTTCCCTTAAGTGAAAATTGATATACCACCAAAGGTAAATTCCAACTTTGCAAAGAACTCTCATGCTCCTTAACAAAGTTATTGCCATTAACCATCAAATTTTCCACTCACTAACGAGGACATGAAAGGAATCCCCAGCTGATGTCCCCTGGGCAATAGTGATGTCATGGTTAGGGTTAGGGTTAATCCTAGAAGCACCTTGATGTTTCCAGCAAGACAACAAAAAACAACTTCTTTCCAATATTTTGTCAGCTCCGTGTCTTGGTTTTCTAACCAAGTGGGAGTTGAGTTCTGTAGCACATTTTTCAACACCCAGGAGCTAAAAAAACAGAATACAATCAGAATGATAGTTAATCTGGCATGAAATTTAAATTGTCTACTCTTACCATATTGAAACAGATTTTTCTTTTGGGGACATATTTAGTCTGACTTTTCCGTCATCTAAATGGTTTCATAAGTTCAGCACAGCCCTTGGCATCATAAGAACAGTCTCTACCATGAGAAAGTATGGCTCCTTTGGATTAGACCTGGCCATTCTATGGACTCTGAGCCACATTTGCCCCTTTGGCTGTCCTTGCCCAGCCCACATGGATTGTTTTTATTTTGATGGTGACTGGTTTTTGTTTTTTTTTAATGTATGTGCATGCCAGGAGTGGGTTGCTACCAGCATTACTGCTGGTTCAGTGCACAAAAAAGATTGTGCGAGTGCGCTCGCTTCATTCACGTGCGCTCCAAACGTGTGTTCCACGCGCAGTGGTGGGATTCAAATAATTTAACAACTGGTTCTCTGCCCTAATGACTATCTGGGTAGGTGGGG